AGAAAATCACTGTAGTACCTCTGAGTCTGGAGAAGAAGATTTTTGAAATATTGATTAATTTTCCCTTTGGGGCCCCGCCCTGGCCCCAGGGGTCGGGGTAGGAATCTCAATTTTACAATTTGAAACCATCTACCTCCAAGGATAATTCTCACCAAGTAAAAATAATTTCCTACAGAAAGTTGTCAAAATATACCCAAAAGTGTTATTTCCCTATATAAACTATAGTAAACTTTACCCCCTCCCCAAGGGAGAACGAATAGCTGGGGGGTCCTGAAATTTACAATTTAAGTGAAGTCCCTGATGATCTTTCTTTCCATGCAGAGAAAATGAGTGTAGTACCTCTGAGTCTGGAGAAGACGATTTTTGAAATATTGGTTAATTTTCCGTTTGGGGCCTCAGGGGTTGGGGTAGGAATCCCAATTTTGTAGCCTCATCTACCAACGATGATTCTGGCCAAGTTTGTAAAAAATCCATCCACTGGTTCTTGAGAAGAAGTTGAAAATGTAAAAAGTTTACGCACGACGGACGACAGACAACGACGGACGGAAAGCGATTAGAATAGGTCACTTGAGCAAAGCTCAGGTGACCTAAAAAGGGTCCATTGACAAGAATATCTATGAAAAGTATTGAAAAAGAAAAATTATCAAGTATCTCAACACGTCCCATATCGGACACATATTCTACATGTAAACGTAGTGGTTTTGCCATAAAGTTTAGTGTGTGTGATGGCTAGTATGACCACGGACTTAGATATCTAATCTAATTCCTTGATATGACTTACCACAGACTTAGATATCTAATCTAATTCCTTGATATGACTTACCACAGACTTAGATATCTAATCTAATTCCGTGGACTTATATACTAAGTGTTAGCGTATGGAGACAGTGAAAGTTGGAAAGAGAGTATACATAAATTTATATGCATGGTATAGAGCAAAAAATTGGCCAAAGATATTGAGTTGTACAATGTAATAAAAGAAATCACAAACGTTTCTCTTTTTTATACGCATGTAGTTTGTCATTGCATATATGCACTTTATGAAAACATTTGAAAAGGGATATTCGTCTCGTGAATATTCCTTTTTACAGAAAGGTTTGTCCCATGGTTGAAGAAAGGTGTTTAGCCCCGTACAGTTGTCACATTCCGGTACTAAATTCAATATATATTTATATAT